TTTTTTTAATAAAACAGCAGATCACTTTTTTTTTTTTTGTTTTGGGGTGCATGGTAGAATGGAAAAAAGGAAAAAGCGGGGGGTTTTAATGGAAATTTAAATACGGGCCTGTGGGGGTTTTGTTTTTTGGAAATACCCAAAAAGGGTTTTTGCTGGGGGAAAAAACGGCAGTGCTTCTGGGGGGCACATTTTTTTCCCCCCCCCCCCCCCACCTCTCTCTCTCTCTCTCTCTCTCTCTCATGCACACACCCCATGGAAGATGAGCGTAACAGGAGCAGGTTCCCTGTTGGAGTGGGCACATGTACCTTGTGCTTCGAACTGGGTTGGAATGGGCAGCGGCAAATGGGGGTTCCATGCTTGCAGCCGAGGAGTTTGGCCTACCTTTGTAAATGAAGAGAAAGCAAGGGAGCAAGGCATCGTGAAACCCAACATGGTTTGGCATTCGCATAAATACGTTATGTATTTAATGCATGAGATGGAGGACTACGGGTATGTTAGGAGACCACAAGTATATACTTTTCACCTCTGTTCTATGTGGTTAATTGTATTCACCCAATGGTTCGCAGCTAAGCAAGTAAATGGGAGTAAATGGCCACTGTTTATCTTAGTAAAGGGGGACTTTAAATGGGCGCTGCTTCTGAATAAAGAGACTTTATTTCCAATCAATGAAAGTTACGATCCGGTCTGGCTCGCATCTCAAACCCATTTGCAATCTATCAAGACATGACCTGATAACTTCACATTAATTGTCATTCATAATAATATACACCCAATTTTTCTTTCTTTCTTTCTTTCTTTCTTTCTTTCTTTTGCCCTCGCTTACTTACACTTCGACGGAGCTCCAAACAGCTGCTGCAGAAGCAATCAACGTATTCCTGGTTAAGCTGTGTGTTGCTCCTTTCAAGAGGCATCAGAGGAGGGAGGAGAAGTTGGTGATTGCAGGCAGCCGGAGAATTAGATGGTGTTCTTAATATCCCACACCTCCCTCCCCCCCTTCGATTTTAATAGGAAGCATTGAAGGATCATAAAATCCACCAATATAAATAAATGGTTCGGACTTGCGAGGCTATCTATCTCATCACTTCAGCAACTTAGACTGGTAGATGTAAGGATGCGATCAATGAAGCAGCAGCTGGCTAATAACTTGTAATTAGTTTGGCGTTCGGCAGAAGCCCAGGCATGTGGGCATCTTTATTTCTGGCCAGGCTCATGAAGGCGCGCTTGAAGCACAGAGCAGGGAGGAAAAAGAGCATTTAGAAAGGCATTGATTGATTGAAAGCTGGAAAGTTTATAGGCTTCATTGCTCTCCAGCTTGGAGAGATTTAGTCTCAGAGCTCTTCAATGTAAAAGATTCTATCTCTGGGCGGTCAAACTCCAAGGAAGTGCTGCGTTTTACACACACATTTGGTCGAGCACTCTCTCAAACACCTACAGATTCTTCATCAACACATCTTTTCCCACGGACATAAGCAGCATAGCTGGAGCTACAAGTAAATCTCATGAAGAACCTCAACTGAGGTTTTCAGGTCCGCTAGTCTGATAGCAAGGTTGTGTCGAGATGGTTCAGGTGTCATTTATCTCTGCACTAGTCTAAACTCGAGTTGTACAACACACCAATTCAGTAACATTCATGTCTTTATACGAGTTGAGACTCCGAGCTGGTTTACACCTAGGATTACTGGTTTCATTGCACACCCCTCCACTGTCTTCTATCAACTTGGCATCCATGGCTTCTGACAGTATCTTCCTTCATTGAGGAAGAATCACAAAGCCGATGTGGTGCCATCATCAGCTCGTCGCTACAGTAGAAAAAGATATCAGAATCTGCAGAAAGAAAGTAGCTCAGGACATTGCTACAGTCTCAGTAACTTCTTCCATGCAGGAGGAACCATTAAGTTAAGGTGTTAACCTCCAGCCTGTGCCAATTGATTTCCCATAATGAAGTCCTATCTCAATTCATCCACTTGCCAGTCCCAAGTAATTGCTGACAAACAGTAGTAACCTAAATGGCTTCCACCACTGGAAGTGCTATAATTCCCAACACTCTCCGACGTACTAATCAAGCTTTCACAGATGAATTAAGTGAGAAGATGAGCTTGCAACAGCTTGCTTGATGCATCCAAGCTTGTGTCTGCTAAACCCCCAACTCAAAGCTATTGAGATTATATATTCTGTGGGCCTTCAGCTTCTCTCAAAAATAGCTCATCTCTGCTCACACAAGGAAAAGAGGCCATTGTACTGGTGAGTGCTAACAAGCGATTTTAATGAAAGCCGAAGGAGAAACGTAGTGCCAGCCCATGCACAGTGCGCATTAACTGCACACTTTCCAGAAAGAAAGCAACATGTAGAAGAAAGCCAGTATTCTGATTAGGGTTCTAATGCCAATTTTGTTAGCTGTGCTGTGCAAACCAAAGAAAAAGGAATAATAAATCAAGAAATATCTGATGAAGAATCCATTAATTAAATCTACCTCTAATTTTTTTTTTTTGAATAGGTTTTACTGATTAGATAAAAACCGAGTTAACGAAAACAGGAGATCTACCAATGACAATTAGTTTATGAGCTACACAATTGAGCTCTCTCAGAGGATGAAGAATATTAGTGATGAACATAATAGAATTATGACTCCATGAAATAGTTTCATTAAATATATTCATCCTTTTGAGAAAAAATAGTGAACCTGAAGCGGGCCGCAATGAGGTCCGACTGAACCGGGCCGATTGAGGTTGGGTTAGAATCATAATTGAGCCCAAGTGTTTAGAATCTTGAATATTGTTTGAGTCGCTATCATCCCCCAACTAAATAGTTCTTTTAGTGATTTTTGAACTTGGGATATAATAATTATAGTAATAAAGAGAAAAATAGTTTTATTGTTTTATAATCATCATTGAGCATTCTGACTCAGAAGGAATGATTCATCCTCATAAATAATTTTTTATTTGGACTAGGTCTGAAAATATTCTCTATTATGATCTTGTAGTTTTAGACTCCCAAAAAAAAAACAAACCCAACTTGATCCCAATTAGGGAGTTAAGTCTTTTGGATCTTATATTGGACTTTACCTATAGTGAATTATCTATTTTGTAATGATCCTGCTCTTGCTTTTCAGATTGGAGACGAGGAGCACTTTAGCTCCATAATTATCCGTCTACGATAGATTTTCTTAGGATCAACTTGTGAAAAAAAAGAGAGATCATATGTGATTACATTTCTTTCTTAA